GTGGCGGAAGTCACAGCTGTGACCCCTTTACCACTGAGCCACGAGGCCTTGGTTAAAAGGCTTGATTATTCTAAGAATTCTTTTTTTTTTGAGAAAAGGCTTTCTTAATTTAAATGCAGGAAATGAAAAAATATTACAAGCCCGTGGGCTATAGTTGTTTTTAGCAAAGGCCCTTTGCTCTAGTGTTTAACTTTTTCTTAATTGAACCAGTCCAAAGGTTAAAGCCCCACCCAAGATTGGGAGAATAGAAGTAAACTTGTAAAACGAAGAGGATGAAGTTAGGGAGAAGGAGAAGACGAGCGGTTCTAATGGATTATCCCATTCTTCACCTGGCGTTTTCCGATGACAGCCAGAGCTGCATCATCTTTGAGGCCAATGCCGGATTTCCCTTTCTGTAGCTTGAGATCCAGAAACACTTCGTTAAAAAAAAAAAAAAAAAAAAAAAAAAAAAAAAAAAACTAAAAATTCTTCATTCAATGCATTTTGAAAGTTTAAAACCAATGAAATCAAAAACTGCATTAGAAGAAAAAATGACAAACTACATATATAAACACGAGAACCGAACTTAAATTTGGAGTGATGTAGTATTTCTAAATACATTAAGACCTCCGATTTTGAAATTTCTGTTTAATCGAATAGAATAGAGATGTGGAACAAAACAATACATCTGCCTTGTCTGAGTGCTAATTGATACTATTAGTGTTCGTCATTACGTGTCACTGTCTTTATTTGGGGCATGTGTTTTTGTAGTTCATCCATTGCATCTTTCTCCTTCTCTCAAATTCTTTACAAAAAATATTGAGTTTTGGTTTTTGGGTTTATATGAAGAAAGAATATTTTTCTGATAAAAGAAGATTCAAAATGAATGTACTGTATGTCCTGGTGTGATCTTGAATTCGGTTTGTCTTGCTAATAACACAGAGACAATCAAATATAAAACCATCCTTGTTTGTCTTTTCTTTAAGCTTATTTTCGATTTTTGTAATCGTCAAAGGATTATACTGCAAGCAAGCTATATATTATATACACCAATCAAGTCGTGTTCAATCAAATACATATGTTACTGATGAGTGATGATAACTGTAGTCTGTAGCCACTAGCCCCCTTGAAAAGTTATCATGCGTTGGAGACAAAATAACATATCCAGCAGAGTCTGAGACCGTATAAATGTTTAATTTTTTTCTTAATAAACAGGCATAATTTTTTTAAAAAAAATTGTGACACACATCACCATAGCACCATACCATATATTTTATAATACTTTTGTAACAATTTTAAAACTAATCGGTCTTTCTACACGATCACAAATTCAAGAAATTTATACTTGATATAGAAAGAAATTTAAGAATTATTTCTTGTCAACAGTTCATAATTTACTTTTTGGGTAGAAGTATATCTAGCTGACATTTTTTAAAGTATCATCATACATAAAATCTAGGGTGAATTAGGTAGATAACCATATTGGGTTGTATATTTAAGCTTATAGCCATCATAATATTTAAATTAACTGAGTAGCAATAGAATATTTTTGTGGACAATTTTACCCTTGAAAGCAAGAGAGAAATAACGAGAGCACCACATAGATCATAGAACAACACAACGATACAATGTTGGTGTAAGGTGATTTCAAAATGTTGCTAGTTCAGAAGTCACGATTAATCGTAGTTGCTACATGTCATTAACAAATGAAATAGACTGGGAAACAATGGAATAGAATTACAAATGAAAAAAAAAAAACTGCAAAATGATGGAGGAAGAAGACATTGATGCAAGAATGGTAGCTTTCTCCGAGAATTGAAAAGATTTGAAGATATTGTCTTGTAAATTTTGTGATTTTAGAGCTAAAGGCGTGAAAGATGAACTCTATGTTGCCTTCTCTTTCATTGTCTCCATCACCATCTTAAATGCTACCAAACAAACTTATCATCTTGCTCTTGATTTTATTTGCCGTTTCTTTCGAATAGAAATCATTAACAGTAATCTATGCACGGATTTTCGCATAAATCTGAACCAAATCTGAACCAGTTTGACCGTAGGAAACCGACGAGCCGACAAGCTTTATTTCTTCATCGCCGCCAATTTCAGGATAAAAAAAATAAATCTATGGAGAAACAATGATGAGAAGTAGCAACGAGACAGAGCTGCAACTGTCAAACTTGTACAAAGGTTTAAGGAGTTAGTGTTGTTTTCGATTGTTTTCGTTTCTTGACATTGTCGGAGCTATCCAAAGGGAATTTTTTTTTGTTCTTTCTCCATAAGGTTAATTTGGGAATTATTGTAGAAAATACACTTTGTATTCTATCTATGGTCTTGATATGGTCATTTTGTTAATATCATGTTTTTTTGTGGTTATCGACTTATATTTTCCTAAAATCTATGCTATTCATTAGACGACAAAAAAAGTGCTAGTCAATAATTTCCTTTGATTTTTTTTTGTAGGTAGTCGATATGTAGACATTCGGCTTAGAGTAGATCTAATTTTTGGATTATTATACTAAGAGTAATATCACTCAATACCTATCAAAACTTCCTAAATTAACTGATAATATTGGCAACTGTTTGACCTCACATGTCTTGAATTAAAATTCCACATATACCCATCGTCATGTGTCCGAAGGAAAAAGTTGTTTATATGGACACAACCTCCTCCATCAGTTCCCGGTTACATTTGTTTCTTTTTTAACTTTTCAAGAATTAAAAAAAATAAACACTTCCATATAAGTTCGATTCCATCAGTTTTTCCCCAAATCTATGTCCGATCCAATTGAGATGAATCAATTGAATCTCCCTCCGAGACTAAAGCCTGCTCAGACATTTAGAAAAAAAGAAAAATTTAAGATTTATATAATTTATTATGCATATATCTATATTTTTCAAGATAAAAAGTGACAATATAATATAGTTATATGTATAATCGCAGAGTTACCCAATATAAGTGTAACATGAATAACAAACAAAATAAAGCTGTTAAACGTGTAAATTTTGACTTAACTGTTAAAACTTATATTTGTATTTAAACTTACAGACAATATATTATAGTTACATGTGAAACATAGAATTACCGAATGTAAGTGTAATATGATTAACAAACAAAATAAAGTTGTTAACCGTGTAAACTTCGATTTAATTATTAAAACTTTTATTCATATTTGAACTTAAGGACATATGCACTTAGTGCATAACTGTTGGTCCTATATTATGGTTACATGTGTAATTGCAGAGTTATTCAATGTGGGTGTAACATGAATAATCAACAAAATATAAATGTTAACCGTGTAAATGTCGACTTAACTGTTAAAACTTATGTTTGTATTTGAACTTACAACCAATATATTTTAGTTACATGTGTAAACGCAGAGTTACCTAATGTGGGTATAATATGAAAAACAAATAAAATAAAACTGTTAATCGTATATATATTTTTCAAGATAAAAGGTAACAATATATTATGGTTACATGTGTAAACGCAGAGTTATCCAATGTAGGTGTAACATGAATAACATACAAATAAAGCTGTTAACCGTTTAAACTTTGATTTAACTGTTAAAACTTCTATTTGTATTTAAACTTACGGACATATATTATAGTTATATATATAAATATAGAGTTACCGAATATGAGTGTAACATGAATAACAAACAAAATAAAATTGTTAACCGTGTAAACTTTGTTTAACTATTAAAACTTTTATTTGTATTTAAACTTAAGTACATATGCACTTAGTGCATAATTGTTGGTCCTTGATTCTGTTTTGTAGAATTAAACATTGCAAATTGTAAATTTGATATTATCTTATATTTCTGTCTGTCATTGATAAAATCTTTACCATTCTAAGCAATTAAGTTTATTGGATATACACAAATCTGGATGGGTAAGAAGTGTTATTCTGCATTAAGGGTGATTTATTAATATTATCTCTCCATTCCTATTTTTAAAATATATAAAATAAATATATAGTTGCTCTCCGGTTTCCCCAAATCCCAAGCGGTCATGCTTCCTCTTGTTCAGTAGGACATTTTTGTCTTTGATAATCAACAGTACTATCCAAAAACTAATTTAGAAACACTCCTTAGTAAATCCTTAATTTTTCAAACTTCCATTGGCATTCACCCATATCACTCTTATACTAAAGGGTGGTACCATAAAAATAAAACAGAACAAAAACTTTTGAAAAATGATCAATTCTAAATCTAATACATTTTCCTTCCACCAACTTTTATATGCACTAAATATTTTAAAATTTTGTACAAAATAATCTTGTTTTTTTTTTTTTTTTAATTTGCATCAGAAAGTGAGTGTTTTTCCACAACTTTAACAAAAGTTATTTTATTTTCAAATTATCAGTTCTAAATCCAAAACATTTTGCTTCCACCAACTTCTAGACAAATTGTTCCAAAAATAATAAAAAATCTAGAGAATACATGCATAAATAGTTAACTTTTAAAAAAATGGTCTTCAAAAGAACCTTAAACTTAATTATTATTTTCTCCATAATAACTTCAAGTAAGTGGGTTTTATCTCCACAACTTTGACATGTTATTCTACATAACACTTTTTATTTTGGTTAAATGTTTTACTTAAAACATACGTGGCCAAACCACATCATTTTTATAAAAATAAATATCTCATGATTTTGTCATTTTTACTCTACAAATCGGTATCTAGCATAAATGCATAACTAACCCAATTCTAAATTTCTCTTTTTCATTTTCTTGATCCACAATTCTGTCAACACGAGTCAAAGCCACGTTGATAATATATTAGATATTTTCAAGTTAATATGGACCATATGATATACAAACGGTGCAAAACTATAAATCTACGTGACACTTTTAATTATTGTAGTACATTGTTCAGAGCCCCTAATAAAAGGTCGCTTCATCATATGACCCACAAACATTTCAAAACTGATATTAACATGTACCGTCCGATTAACTCATCGAACGACGATCATCTGCGCCACCCTACACTCGACCGTAGCAGAAGAAAACCTCCTTATCTCACTGTAATCTGCTACAATCAGCTTTAGCGAATCCCACTCTCCTATTGGTCACATCAAACTCAACCCACAGATTCTGCTGATGAACGTTCCCGATTATATTACTAGCTGCTCCAAGCATGCTCGACCGTCCGATTCCAACGCAGTGGATCCCACCTCCCACGTTAGCCAAAACCCTCTCTTTCGGAACAAGTATCTCAACTCCTCTCCTAAACTCAAACGCGAGATCGCCTATCAACCGTTGGATCTCCACCGCGTTTCCAGTGAAACACATGTCAGCTGTTCCGCCGTACACGTAATCCTTCTTGAGTCTGGGCCCTACAAGTCTCACTATCTCTTCTCTCACTTTCTCGTAAGCTGCATCGACCAAGTGAGTAAACTCGGATCCCGAATCAACCATGGTTTGACCCGACCCGCCTGCATCCGGTCTAAAAACTGAACCGGAAATGTTAAGCTTCTTTCGACCAATTCGAATCCCAATCATCGGTACAGTGTAAGCGAGAGGATCCAGATTCGGCATTCGTTGACTCTCGGGAAAAGTCAACAGAGAAACATACGTAAACCCGCGAGAATTCGGGTTATCCCCGAGGTAAAACGAACCGGTCGGTGTAAAACCGGGCCGGTTCGATTTCGGAGGTATACAGTAAGAGAATTTCGAAACCTTAGCTTGCGAGACGAAAGACAGACGACCACGATTCATTCCCAAAATACCCCTATCATCTGAAGATTCGGTAGCGCAGCCGAGTATCAAAGGAGGGGTACTTTGGGTATTCGAGAAAGTGATTTTTTCTTTGACGAGATTGCCCTCGGCGAAGGTACCGTCTGCGTAGAAGTAAGAGTAGTGGCAGAGACGGTTGGAGTCGCAAGAGGTGGGGAGGGTAAAATCGGGAATTCGCGGTTTACAGAGAGGATGAGAGCAAGGCAAATCGGAGAAGGAGGAGGAGAGCGACGGATCGAACGTGGTTTTCGGCGGAGGGATGATTTTTTTGCGGTGGCATTGGATCCATGATAGTTGGCTTCCGGTGTCGAGAACCATTTGTTGGGTTTGTGGCGGTGTTCCGATTGGGAGAGGGATGATTAAAGCCATTGAGTATTTGAATTTTGATCGGAAGTTGTATGGAGGAGACGACGACGGAGATGGGTTCCGGCGGGAGAGGAGGGAGGTGGCGAATTTGGTGGTGGGAGGAGAGAGTGGGAGGGATTTGAGAGGGAGGTGGAGAGAGAAAGAGGATGTGAGAGAAGTGTTGTTGATGAGGAAGAAGACGAAGGAGAAGAAGAAGACTGGTTTTGAAATGGGAGACATTTTTGGTTTTCACTGTGAGAAAGAAAGATGGAGAGAAGAAGAGAGGTGAGTGTTGTGTGTATATATACAGTTATGACTTACACACGTTTGATTACGATATCTATAAAATAAGGTTTTTTTGGCTTGGTACTATTTTGGAATCAAGTTAAAATATTACTATACTAGTATTATGCCCGGTGCTATGCACCGAAAAATATCATTTAATTGCGTTTCTTTATTTAAAAAGTATCTACAGTGAAATATACAAAATCTATAGTAACGAACTATATTGACCCAAAAACAATTTATCAAGTACAAAACATTTTGACCAAAACTATCCAAAACTGCTCTTTGATTCAATCTTTATTTTGTCATATACATTGGTATAAGGTCGAAATGATTAATTTTGAATTCAGCAAACATATTGGTTTTACACTTGTTGTACAGATATTCAATGATATCCCGAGTGTCTTATCCTAATGAAAACCAACAGCCATTGCAGTATGTGGTATTTGTTCTTTTTGATTTTTTTTTGGTGTGTCAAACAATAATGACACGTAAAATATGCATTTGGATTTGGATGAGATAACTTTTAGTAAATATAATACAAATCATCATAGTACAGAGCCATCTGCATATAAACATGTGACAGATTTATTCTTGATGGTAAAATAAGATAATAATTTCGGACAAAACATATCGAAAACTGCTTATATGAGGAAAAACTTTTCACGAAGTCAAAAGCAAACAAAACATGCGCAAAACCGCTTGAGAAAATTGACGATTTTGTGATCTTTTCTTTCCGCTTGCCTTCCTCATCAATGATAATGATCTCCCTCTAAATCTAATCAAAATAACAATTAACGATGCTTTATTTTTATATCGAGTTTAAAATAAAACAGATAAACACGAAGAATTAAAATTCGGTTAAATACCTTATCATCCACAAGCATTAGATCAAGTCTATTTCCAGATTTGTCAAAACTGGGAAACTCGAGCTTTAATCTTCAAAACTTCATTAATGAAACGGGCTTTAAGTGAGGGATTGGTACCTGAAACAATCACAGTAGTATCTGAAACTCAAACTACAAAGTAGTCCCAATTACATTATTCCAACTGAAATAAAATATAAGAATTCAATTGAAGGAAATCAAAGTAAAACCTCTCCTTGTCGTTCAAGTGAAAAAAGGCCAGGAACTAAAATCCCAGGACCTAAAATCTCTCTCTTCAATCAATTGAAAAAGTAAGGTAATTCATTTGTCTTCTTAACCAGAAAAAAAAAGGAATCAGAAATATTTGAGTTACCTGAGAATGAGAGACTGAGGGAAAGGGAAAAGCTTGAGTCTCCATTGATGCATTTGTGATTAAATCTGCACAAAAAAATTTCGAAAGCAGTGATCAATTTAATGAATTAAAAGGAGAAAGAAATTCCAGATTCAATGATAATTAAAAACAAAATCGTATAAAAATTTGATGAGATTAGAGAGAAGACATAGATATCATGATCTCAGAAGAAGAGATTTAGTTGGTTACCTAATTGAGAAGCTGAGATCGATATATATGATTGTGAGATTTAGATGTGGTGAAAGAGGAATTTGAATTTGGGGATCGTGGATCGTGGGGAGTTTGAGAAGAGAAAATGTTCGTGGGTTTGAAATAAAAAGTGAGATAAATAAGAAAATTCAAAAATAATCATTTTCGTGAAAAAAAATAACTAATTAGAAAATTAAATGGACACGTGTCATTCATATAAACCATGAGGTGACTTGTACTTTATTAGTATTAGATGTTTGTTCACAAACATATGACGAAATTTTAACAAAAAAAGGAAAATACTACAATATTACTAGGGTAAATTTCAAAACTACTGCAAAAAAAAATCTGCAAAATATAAATAATTAAAACCAAAAGTAATAAAACACATTTAATTTGAAAATCCCTTATATAATGAAACAAAGAAAAAATTCCAAAACTCCTTATATTATGAAACAAAAGGAGTACATTTCTGAATTTACATTTTCAAAACAATACTTTTAGAGTGTTTATTTTCCAAATCCAAATTAAACTTTTTCATTGATTAAAAAAAATTTAAACCCTAAATCCTAAAATGTAATCTTAAACTCTGAAATCTAAACCCTAAACCCTAAAATCTAAACAGTAGTTAAAAATATTAAATCCACTTATATATTATATTTTGGAAAAAGTGTAGTTTTGAATATTAATACTATAGAAATATAGTTTTAAAAATTAACATTCCAAAAAGTGTATTTCTTAAAATTTCTCTAATTTATATATATATAATAATATGAAAAAATACGTAATACACAAACATTTTCGATTTTGGTTTTGAATCACTGAGTTAACGGAATGTAAAGTTTGTTAAATCTATATTGTTTCTTGTTTCTGTTGCGGATTGGCTTTATATTTATTTTATTTTATTATAATGAAAAACGATGTGGTATTTTACCACCGGACTAATCTTTGAAGAGTGAATATCAAAATAGCTTTGTTCACTAACTTTTTATGGATATAAAACATGACACAATTTCGATTGACCATTTTAACATGATCACTTTATAATTATTTATATTAATATTTAATAATTTTAAGAAAAGCTGGTTTCTAAGTTTGTAAGACAGCGACTCTCATTTGACACTGTGTAAAATGGGAAACACGACAAAAGATATTGAGGCGAAAGCAATATGAAAATCAGAACGCGGTTTCTCTTAGATTGAGAAAATGATATATATTGTTTTCTTTTATAAATTGTTTTTTATGGCTTTCAATTTATGATAATACTGTATTTGTATAATTCTTGTTATCTTTTCTTTCTAATATTGGGTGGTTACATCTTTCTGTTTATGTCTTATTTTAATTGATTGGTTACCGAAAAGAATTTCCACTTAATTTGAGGACTGAGTAAAGTTTAGAGTCACTTTTGAAGAACTAAAATCGATAAAAACGCGTTAACGTCCTAACGTGAGCTCTTTGTTTGAATTACGCAAAACGATATTTGGTGTATTTATGTCTATGGAATCTTGTGAAAATAGTAACTTCTTTGTCAACCGAAACTGAAAACTGTATTGAAAATTATGTTGATTTAATTTGGTAGGAGTAGGACCATGTCTAGGTTCATGAATGTCATATTAAAATATTTCAAACAATGAGATCTCATCAACAATTCTTATTGAACATAATATATCTCACAAGTCACAACATATCAAATACAAGACAAAAGTTAAAATTGGAAGCTATAACATATAAGCTTACTTTTGAGTTTTGACCCACTTTGATTTCGATGACTCTTTGAAACAAAATGCAATCATAAGATCTAAAGAAAAAGGATAAATCATATGTCAAAGGTGAAAATGAAATGAAGGATCTTAGGGCATCTCCAATATATTGCTCCATATTTTGCTTAAAAATGAAGAAATTTCAAAATGGGGTTGGGTTTTGCTCCAATGTATTTGTGGGTTCGGAAAACCACACTCAAAATTTATGTGTATTTTGTAGGGAGAAATTGCCTGTGGAATCAGAGGTTAGATTCTGATGTAAGTCGAATGATTCGTAGACAAATATTTGACGAAATCGGACTTAGGCTAATCGAATAAAGTGGTTACAAAACCGGCCTAAAAGACCATGTAAAACACTAGGATTCGACTAAGCAAAAGAGATGGAAATGAGGTGGTGGCTGCGCTCGTGTAACGAGCTGCCTACGTACCCTGTTTTAGGGATCAAGCCAGACGTAGTTCGATTGTAAGTTGTTCTCTATTTCGAGTCGTTTTCTGAAGAGAAATGACCACGAAAAGAGCTAAAGGGGTGTGAAGATGACGATAAATCTCAGGTTATCGGAGTGATCCGAAGGTAAGAGATTACGTCAAACTTCTGCCGGAAGTGATTTCCGGCTAGAAAGATCAGGGCTTTCTGGGATTATCTCAAAGACCAAGGATAAGATCGAAGAGAAAAGGATGAGAATATCTCAAGACAAGAAGAGAAGATGTTTTCTTGGAAAGGAACTTTTATCAGGATATTCTTCTCTCCGAAATGAGAAGGAAAAACTTATGCCTTGTGATCAAGAATCGTCCTCCTTTTATAGCTCCGAAGTAGATCGCAACCTCCTCCGCGTATCTCGTCCACGTGCAACTACCGATCCCGCTATTTCCGGATCTGAACGATCGAAGCGAGATTCTCGTTTGACTCGTTCAAACTCAGCTTGCGGACTTGACTCCGTCGAGCTAGAGCTCGACTTCGTCTTCACAAGTAGCTCGGACAGTAAACAGCTGGATTTTGGACAAGGATACTTGGTGGGCTCGAGGTCATTTTACTGGGCCTGAGTGGACTTATCTTGACCTTAGGACTTAGGTGATGGGCCTTATGGGCCGGATTTCTGGAGGGAAATCCAGGTCCAACAATAGCCCCCCAGCTCATTAAGTGAGTATAATCAAGCTTAATGAGCGGTAGGTTGTTTTAAATTGTCCCGCAGTCCCGTCGAACTAAATCATGACTTTGAATAGTCATTAGAGATCGACGGTCGCAAACGGGAAGGCGAAAGATCTTTGAGATCTTGCCGTTGAATGATAGTTTCACCTTGAAAGACAAGGTAATAACTTATTCTTTAGATCGACAATCAAGATCGAAAATAGATCGAAGAGCTATTATGATCTTAAGAGTCGAGCTTTTCGAGAGTAATGAAAACCTTAGGAGAAGATTTGCGATTATCAACTCTTTTAGATTGTTTCTCGAGAAGGCTTTTGGTTTAACTAACTCAAACATTGCGCGAGCTCTTTTTGAGTTAATCGATTATTTTTCGAGTTCGACCAATTGTTGATTAAATTCTTTAATCGAACTTGGTCGCTTCAAGTCGGACTGTTTTTCCGACTCGAACTCGAAAAAGATACGACTAAATGAATTTTAGTCGGTTTATTTGATTGAATTCTCGCATAAGATTTTCGGCTGACCTGAATCTAGCAGAAAAGACTTTGCCAACTCTTCTGAAAGTTGCTTCAAGTTAAACTGATTTCTTTTTGAAATTTCGAGTCAAACTTGGCATGATTTCGACTAAGTATTTGTTTTATTTAGGTCGAGCTAAATAAAACTAGTCTTTGGTTCGAATGTTATTTTGACCAAACGTTCGAGCTTATCATTGAGCTAAGCTGAACAAAGACTTAGTCAATATCTTTGAAGATATTCTTAAGGTCGGGTTAGAATCTATTGAGAATCTAGCTCGATCTTGAAGATGTTCTCGAGTTTTAGCTCGAGAATTTGGCTGAGTGCTTGACTGCCATTCAAATCAGACTAGGTGAGACTTAGTTGATTTCTTGGGATCATATAAGATCAAGCAAGAATCTATTTAGAATCGAGCTTGACAAGATGGTATATGTCCCGAGCGAACTTCGAATCGAGCTCGATGCTGCGATAGAGAAAGTTTTTCGCTGTAATGACTTGGGCGAGTCATATGTTGTTCGGACTTAATACATGTGAAGGCTTTCATCCATTTTTAGCAACAAAATTTTGTTTGTTACTGTTTTTCGCCGCGTTCCATCTGTTACAGATTAGAGCCCGACTTCGAGTATCCCACCTCTTGGAAGAGAGAAGATTTCTCGCGAGCTAACGTTTTGTGAACGATCTGCAAAGTCGGCTGCCGCTCGTTGTGAGCAAGCAATCCAATCTGAGCTAATGGAGTTGTGGAGATTGTCCATGTTGCGGTCGAATATACTCTTCGTGATGAAGTAGTAGGTCGAGGTTCTTCATGCTGCTATGGGGATAATACCCAAGTGACTCATTTGAGACGAACTATCTCGTTGAGAGTCGAATAGCGAACAATGAGGATGGAGCTCGAAATGAGCAAGAGATGATAATCGGACTCCGAATTTGTCGAGCTCCTTGAAAAAGCGAGTTAACTCGACGGCGAGTCCGTCATCCCTTTTAGTAATAGATTGTTCGAAGGATGTGCCAGTTTTGGATAATCCTTGAACATTCATGTTGCGCCAATGCGGGCCTGCTGCAAATCAATCTCCAGTTTTGGATATGACGCTCGAGAGGAGCTGTATGCGGCAGCGATGGCGGCGGATGAGAAGGTATGGTTTTACCTTTTCTAAGTTTTTGCCGATGATTTGATATCTTCGGACTTAATATTTGCGTCTCTTTATCAAGCTTTGAAGGTAACATGAAGCTCTCAGCTCGTTGTGAACAAAGGTTACATGAAGCTTCTTGGCAAGATGAGCTTGATAAGATGAAACACCTGGTAGATGAGCTCGATACTGAGCTCAAAATTGAGAAGATAGAGTAGCTCGTCAAAGCGACTTGCTTAAATTTTGGCTTGCTAAGGATGAGCTCTATTCTCGTTTAAGTTTCGAACAAGTTAGCTCAGCAAGGTTTTATGCTTTGCGTTTGGATTTGGTGCCTCGGAAGGCTTTTATCCTTTTATGTTCAAACTTGTTTGCTCGGAATGAGCTTGATATTTGATAATTTTTCTTAGACGTTTGATGTCTTAGAGTTTATCTTTGTTTTCCAGATCAATTGACTGTTAGCTCGATTGTTCGAACATTAGTCGTTTTGGTTTGATTGGAGATTTGACCTAGCGTGTAAGCTAACTGGTCGGACCGGATGAAGCTCAGTTGATCTCTTTTGAGAATCGTATAAAGTTGAGCTAGTTTCTTTTCGAATTCCAGCTCAAACTTTTAATGTGTTGAGCTTCAACTTGGAAGGTTGAGTCGGGTTGAGCTAACCTCTTTCGATTGAAAACGACTGATTTTAGATTATCGTCTGAATTCAGTAGGTGGTTCTACACAATCAGCACTCGAGCTTCATCTTTAAAGATTACTTTAAGTCGAGGTGATTTCCTTTCAGACTTTCAGTCGGATTCGACCGGTGTTTGCCTATTGCGTGATTTTGTAGATTAATCTACATGATCGGCATTGGGCTTGATTAAAGAAAGACTGCTCGGGGTTGAGCTGATTTTCCTTTAAGATTATCAATCGGATTCGATCGATGCCAGTTGTGTGATTTAGTAGATTGATCTACACAATCAGCTCTGGTGCTTTTAGCTTGCAAAGGCTGCTCGAAATCGAGCTGATCGCCTTTCAGATCTTCAGTCGGGTTCGACTGGCTTTTGCCGATTGTGTGATCTCGTAGATTGATCTACATGATCAGCACTTGGTCTTAATCTTCAAGGACCGCTCGTACTCGAGCTGATTACCTTTCAGATCTTCAGTCGGATTCGACTGGCTTTTGCCAATTGTGTAATCTCGTAGATTGATCTACATGATCAGCACTTGGTCTTAATCTTCGAGGACCGCTCGTACTCGAGCTGATCACCTTTCAGATCTTCAGTCGGATTCGACTGGCTTTTGCCAATTGTGTGATTCGTAGATTGATCTACATGATCAGCACTTGGTCTTAATCTTCGAGGACCGCTCGTACTCGAGCTGATTACCTTTCAGATCTTCAGTCGGGTTCGACTGGCATTTTGCTAAGTATTCGATGTCCTTAGGAGTAATTCGAATGTTTAGCTGATTTGGGTTGTTGGGCCCAAAGTTTGTTTTTAGTCCTAGACCGATGGTAGGTTCTAGGTGATCTCTAGGATTAGAATTGATCTCTCTTCCTAGCTTCTGAAGTCGATCTCGACCTCCTTCGCATATCTCGTCCATGTTCAAACTGCCATTCTGGCTGTTTCCGGGGCTCATCGGTATAAGCAACATTATCACATCACACGCAAAGTCCAGCTATTTCATGGTCTTATCGGTCTGCAATATCGTCACCCGACTCAAACAGACCAGCTATTTCATGGTCACATTGGTCTAAGCGATATTACCGCCTGACTCGTACAGCTCGGACATTACCGGAGCTCATCGATCTCAGTAGTATTATCGCCAAACACGTACAGCCCGGTCTTGAAGACTTGATTCCGTCGAGGTATTACTCGACCTCGTCTTTACAAGTAGCCCGGATGTAGTATGTACTTAGATAAGTATACTTGATGGGGTCAAGGTCAGCCTTACTGAGCCTGGACGGACTTTTCTTAGTCTTAGGATCTTGATAGTTGATGGTGGCTGCGCTCGTACTTCGAGCTGCCTACGTACCCTGAATAGGGATCAAGCCTAACGTAGTTCAGGTTCTAGACCGAGAATAGGTTCTAGATGATCTTTAAATTAGAGTCGTGCTTTTTTCATAGCCTCTGAGGTCGTTCTCGTCCTCCTCCCCAACTGTTTCCAGGGCTCATCGGTATAAGCAACATTACCGTCAGACACGTCAGACCAGATATTTCATGGTCTGTTGGTCCGAGCGATATCGTCACCCGACTCGTGAGATCCAGATAATTCCGGAACTCATCGGTCTGAGCGATATTACCACCTAACTTGTACAGTCCGGACATTACCGGATTCCGTCGGTCTAAGTAATATCACCGCCCAACACGTACAGCTCGGCTTGAAGACTTGATTCCGTCGAGGTATTACTCGACCTCGTCTTAACAAGTAGCTAGGGTAGCATATCTGCTTGGACAGATATGCTTGGCGGGGTCGAGGTCAGTCCTCCTCCCCAACTGTTTCCAGGGCTCATCGGTATAAGCAACATTATCGTCAGACACGTCAGACCAGATATTTCATGGTCTAGTTGGTCCGAGCGATATCGTCACCCGACTCGTGAGATCCAGATAATTCCGGAACTCATCGGTCTGAGCGATATTACCACCTAATTTGTACGGTCCGGACATTACCGGTTTCCGTCGGTCTAAGTAATATTACCGCCCAACACGTACAGCTCGGCTTGAAGACTTGATTCCGTCGAGGTATTACTCGACCTCGTCTATACAAGTAGCTGGGGTAGCGTATCTGCCTGGACAGATATGCTTGGCGGGGTCAATGTTAGTCCCACTGGGCGTAGATAGACTTCTCGCGATCTAAAGATCTGGATAATGGTGGCTGCGCTCTTGGGTGGAGCTGCCTACGTACCCTGAATAGGGATCAAGCCTAAACGTAGTTCAAGGGGGTGAGAGTTTGTAGACGTTTTGCCGAACTACTTTGGTGATGGATTAGGTCATTCCAAGTTGGTTCCTGTTTCCTTATCACCGAACTCTCTTTGCCATGACGTATTAACTTGAGCTTGCTTTTTCGAGCTTTATTACGAGTTAATCATCGTGGGCTTTTTCTTGTGGAACCTATTGGTTTTCAAGAGTTTGGTTTTTAGGTCGAATCTTTCTAGAGGAAGAGCTCGTCTAGAAGATTTGACCTTTTGTTGTATGCTTTGATCGAGTTGTTCGAGTCTTAGCACTTGTTCGAGCCTCCGCGAATGAATTTAATTCATTTGAGGGTGGGTGGCTCCACTCCCCCGAAAACTTGTGAAATCAGCGTGAGCATGAGTTCGCAAAGTTCTTAAACTCGGGTTGAGGTTTTCGTTAGCTGTCTGAGAAGACGCTCCACTCCCCCGCGAGATTGTGAGCTCTGCATAAGCTAGAGCTCGCTATCTTTTGGTGCGGGCGGGCGGGTGACCGCGAGGGTCATTGAGCTGCGGCGTGAGCTGAGCTCTCTGAACACTGGGTCGAGTCGAATCGCTTCTTTGTGAAAGAGGTGATTCTTGGGAGATGATTCCGACTTCGCGTTCCCTTTTTCGGGATGCTTTGTCGTTATCGTTAGATGAGGGCTGATTGTTTTTCCATTTTGCCTCAGCTCTCTGCTTTTTAGCTAATTCCTTAGCTCTAGCTCGGCATTCGTCGGTGGAATGGCCGTAGATTTGGTGATGTTCGCAGAACTTCTCTAAATCGGAACTCGGGTTCGGTTTGAGAACTGAGTTCGCGAATGAAAGAGAGTGTTGCGGTAATCTTCCTTTGCGATGTCTTTCTAGGAGGAGATTGATCTCCTCTTCAAAAGTAGCAAAGGTTGACGCGCAGCGAAGTGCATCGTCGAGTGATACAGGAGGTCGAACGATTAGTTCTTCTCTGAATTTTGATTTGTACCACAGGTTGTTTCGGAAGGCTAGTAGAGCTACTGCCTCGTTAGGGTTTTCGATCTTAGCAATGATTGCTTTGAATCTATTGACGTAGATCGAAGTGATTCGTTTGGAGCTTGAGAAAGCTTCCAGAGATCGGCTTCGAAACTTCTGATTCGATGAAGATCGAATATTGGTTTACGAATGCCGAAATCAGCTGGTCGAAATTATCTATTGATTTTTCATCCAGCGTTGCAAACCAATTTTTAGCTGGTCCGGCTAGGTTTTCAACAAAGAGTTGGCAGCAAGCTGCTTCTATCTCTTCGGGAGAAAATTGAGCTCGAAAATTTCGAGATAAAGAGCTCGGATATAAGCTCGTGGATCGCTGTTACCAGAGTATTCTGGGATACATAGCTTGTAAGTATCGCGCAGACAGGTGTTAGCGATCCTGGATGAGAAGGGAGTTTGTTGTGTCTCCCTGATTACTTTGTCGATATCCGGAATCGAACTCATTGTTTGGTTAAACGTTGAGTTCGCTTGCCAGGAATGCGAGGTTTGTTTGGTCCTGGAATCTTTCGAAAGATTCGCAGTCCAAAAGGTTTCGCGGATCGACAGGAATCCGATTAGCTGGAATCGGATGGGATAGAGCTCGATTTGACGAGCTGTTTGCTTTTGTCAATCGAGCTAGATCTGTCGGATCGTTTGCTCTATGAAATTGAGCTCGATCGACTAGATCATTTGTTGCGGGAAACTGTTGATAGTTTCCGTTCACAACAGTTCGAGCTGTTGCAGGGAGCTGCGAGCTCAAAATTTCATCGGACTGATTTTTGAGCTGAGACATCGCCTGCAAGCTTGAGTTGGAAGCCATAGTTTCGGGCCATCTAAATATAGTTGGCTCGATACCTGATAGCTTTGGAGGTGGAGATGGAAGTCGCTCTGTTGGCTGAGATCCTATCTCCGATTTGCTTGAATCTGGAATGTTCAAGCTGCTCATTGGCGAGCTCATCGGCGGACGAGAGTCTGGAAGACATGAGCGCGCAGTGGCGCCTCATCCCGTTTCGACGAGCTGTTTAACGAGGTCATCGGTGGGATGAGAGTCTGGATGACAGGAGCACGCGGTGGTGCCTCATCCCGTTTCGACGAGCTGTTAGGTTCGTGGATTGGTGAAGAGTCGAGCTGAGTTCCCGGAGGAGGACTTATAATCGTCCGTAGCTCAGCAAGACTTCGTTCATATTTTTCCAACCTGATTTTTTGGTCGTATTGACTGTTAATCAGGTCGGTGAGCATTCGCTTGATTCGGGCTTGGTCGTCCGGATTCGGTCGAGCCAAGGCAAACGATGTTGACACAGTTTGCGTCGGATTTCCGACTGATCGGTGTCGAGGTAATCGGGAAATCTTTAGATTTGACCCGAATCCGCAAATGAGGTTTCTCAATTGCGTGCGAGATCTGATTCGGTAGAATCGAGTTCTCGGCTGTCACAGGAGTGACGAGGTTGATCACCGATGGTTTCACGCGGGCTGGAACATTCGAGTTCGCTGCCGCGGAGGTGATAACCGGATCGATCAGGACGCTCGATCTACTAGCAGTTTGGCTGCTGCCAGTTGGCGAGGTGATCGGGTTTTTCGATGTGTCTGCAGTTTTGGCACTGCTGACATCCGAAGTGATTTGATCCGATGGGATCTGAGATTGGGAGCGAGCTCCCTGAGAATTTGATAGGACTGAGTCCATTTCGTTCTCAACTGGTCTAGGTTCGACCCTTGTGTAAGAGAAAGCTATTGTCTCCCCTCCTTCTAGCGCCAAAATGTGGGTTCGGAAAACCACACTCAAAATTTATGTGTATTTTGTAGGGAGAAATTGCTGTGGAATCAGAGGTTAGATTCTGATGTAAGTCGAATGATTCGTAGACAAATATTTGACGAAATCGGACTTAGGCTAATCGAATAAAGTGGTTACAAAACCGGCCTAAAAGACCATGTAAAACACTAGGATTCGACTAAGCAAAAGAGATGGAAATGAGGTGGTGGCTGCGCTCGTGTAACGAGCTGCCTACGTACCCTGTTTTAGGGATCAAGCCAGAACGTAGTTCGATTGTAAGTTGTTCTCTATTTCGAGTCGTTTTCTGAAGAGAAATGACCACGAAAAGAGCTAAAGGGGTGTGAAGATGACGATAAATCTCAGGTTATCGGAGTGATCCGAAGGTAAGAGATTACGTCGAACTTCTGCCGGAAGTGATTTCCGGCTAGAAAGATCAGGGCTTTCTGGGATTATCTCAAAGACCAAGGATAAGATCGAAGAGAAAAGATGTAGAATATCTCAAGACAAAGAAGAAGAAGATGTTTTCTGGAAAGGAATCATAGGAATTTTTTCTCGAAATGAGAAGGAAAACTATGCCTTGTGATCAAGAATCGTCCTCCTTTTATAGCTCCGAAGTAGATCGCAACCTCCTCCGCGTATCTCGTCCACGTGCAACTACCGATCCCGCTATTTCCGGATCTGAACAGTCAAAGCGAGATTCTCGTTTGACTCGTTCAAACTCAGCTTGCGGACTTGACTCCGTCGAGCTAGAGCTCGACTTCGTCTTCACAAGTAGCTCGGACAGTAAACAGCTGGATTTTGGACAAGGATACTTGGTGGGCTCGAGGTCATTTTACTGGGCCTGAGTGGACTTATCTTGACCTTAGGACTTAGGTGATGGGCCTTATGGGCCGGATTTCTGGAGGGAAATCCAGATCCAACATTATTACTTCATTTTTTGCTTCCTAGAATATTCTTTTTGAAAAACTAACATTCTATATTTATATCTATTATAAATTGCCCCATATATTTCTTTTTCTTCAAAACTTTCACAATTAATTATAATTATTTAAATTAATTATAAAAATATTAATAATACATTATTACAAGACTAAAAATAATAACATAAAATGGGTTTTATTTTTAATTAGAACCATTTGAATATATTTCGCATAAATAATCAACTAAACCATTTCAAAGAGAGAAATGAGCATCTTTATCTTTAATCTCTCTAAATCGAGCAATAAAATTTTGGAACTAAATATCATCGTTTGCGGCTATTTCAACTTCTGGAGGAGGAGCTTCTCTTTCAATTTCAATTGGTGCACTCAGATCACGTTTATCCTCGATTATCATGTTATGTAAAATTATACATGTAGTCGTTATGTTATGTAAGTAATAATTTCAACAGGAACTTTCACAAACTACTTCTTTTGGACAATATTTTAGTGATATTGGTGGAACCAGAAACTAAATTAAATTAAAAATCAGTAATAAGTTGTTTTAATAATTTTCTTTTTGATGTTATTTCTAATAAAAGTGTTTTTTTTTTTAATTTATTATTAGCTTAAATAATTAAATTTCTTATTAAATATGTGTTATTTGTATTTTAGAGTAAAAATAAAAATCAAAATAATTAATTATATATCTTAAACTGAACTAATTTAAAACTTCAATGACTGTTATGTAAATTAAGAACTTCAATTCCAAAATGGAGATAAAAATGGGATCAATCTCATTTTGGGAAAAATATGGCATTTTGCTATTTTGAAATTGAAAATGGGATTAGATACATTGGAGCAAAATTGGCTCCAAAATAATAATAAAAGTGAAATATAAAGCTGGGTTGGAGATGCTTTTAGGAAGTCCCCTGCTTCTACAATTCAACTCCACTTGTCTTGTGAGTTGTGATAATGGGACCAGATTATGTTATTATTAGCCATCACCTTATGATATTTTAACTCGGCGCCTAAATTATACTCATGAAGATAAGCTCAAATGCTATCTCTTTTTTTATAAGACTAAAATGTTCATATTTTCTTCTTTACTTTTGAATATGTTTTTCTCATGCTCATTCCGCAAATTATCTAACTGTTTGTCCGATCTTTCGAACATTTAATGAATATAATACAACAATCCTTCCCGTACTAGATATATGATAAATGTTATGCGTGTGTATAAATTTATAAATTGCCAATATTATAGTATATTGCCCAACGATTGTATACTGTGAAAAATGATAGTATATAGTATGATGCTTTATAGTGAGTTTGCAAGTAGACAGGAGATAATCTTATACATAGTACTACAACAAGGTATATAGTGATCTAAATAAGTGATTATATCTGCCTTCAGATTTTTTTTTTTGTGGGGGATCAGAGAAATTAAGGTATGGGATTGCTTTAAAATTTTACCACAAACAAAAATCTAGCTTCCATAACCTCCGAAGTCCAAACCAGTGGCGTCACAATACATCTAATGGATATTATGTATGAAATCAAATTTTCTTGCTCTAAGAAAATTCCAAATAGTATGAAATCAAAATAATCTTGATTCATGCACCTAGATTACTTCATTGAAATCTCTAATCTATAGCAACTAATATCACAATATATGTATAACATGAAAATGCAGAAAAACTAAGATATTAAGAAATACTTGACGTTAGGGCTAACTGAGTTTAGCACAATTGAGTTGCCTAAAGTGTTTATGAGCTGCGCGATTTTCTTCAACCGCCATGTCGACGAATTCTTTACCTTGTCCATCAGACAAGATTTTGTTGGAGGGGAAAAAGAGATGAACAAGAGTGTCTATGATGCAACCAAGAAGAGGAATACTTGAGCTATTGGACGTAACTCGAGGAACTTGAGGATGATCCATATGTATGGATCTCTTGAAATACTATAAAAATTTTATTTTCTGGAGTACTTGAAATTGTAAGTGTTAGGATGAACAGAATCACAAGGCGTATAATGAATGGAAAAGAGAGGTGGATGTGTGGTTAAGTAATCGTAATGGAAAGAATGACTCGATGTCCACGAACAACCTAAAGCTCTCACCACCTCTTTATATATGATATAAAAAAGTTAGCTGATCTCAAAGGATCAAATGACTTTCTCATACTTTTCTACGTGTAACTTTTGAAAATTCAAAGCAATAATTCATCCATTTGTTAATTTATATATTCTGATATTTTAAGATCACCTCTGTTCACACTATCTGATAAGCTGACATGTGTTCTTTAAAATTTATGATATATGTGATTTTCTTAATTCAATTTACATAATATATTTACATATATACATAACATCTTATGTTTTAAACAAAGAAATAATGCTAATATTTTTTAAAATGTTAAATGTTGAAATGAAAGAAATCATATGGGGTTCTCAATCTTCAACATATGATTTTAGAAAGAAAATATATATTAGCAAAAGATGATAAAATTTTCATATTTCTTATATTAAGATTTGTATATATTTTGCTTATAATATGCTTATATAATGCTTATTTTTATAAATCAAAATTTTGACAACTCAGATGAATATGTTTTCCCACCTAATAGAAATTTGATGTTTTATCTATCTCTTACTGACTTCAAAATTATACGGTCGGGTCGGGTTTATCGCATGACGCTAATTTTATTAGTGTCGTTTACATAAGTGACGTCAAAAATATTTGCGTCAGTTTTCTCTTGTTTTGTGTCAATTATAGAACTGACGCCTCTACATATAAATTTTATTAAATTTATTTAATAAATTTTAAAATTAAAATATTAAAAGTTCTAAAAATCTAAAAGTTACCGCATAAATTCAATTAATCATAAATAATATGTTTTACATATATGGTACATAACTTTGACTTGTACAATAAGATATAATTAAAATATTATAAAATCATTGATACAATTTTGTAACAAAATACTCACTGAATCATATATACAAAAGAATACCTATTTCCAGTTCTCAAGCTCAATCTCTGCTATGTTCTTCACTTTCGCACACTCCTCATGATCACGCAAACTCGCAGCATTCAGCTCTTATGACCCTATAAAAATATTGAAAAAACAAAAAAAAATCAGAATATAGCAATTACTAAACCCCAACAAGTTTTCAACAAGTCTTTACTTAAGTTAGACAATCACTTACCTCTACATGTGTCTCGTTATATATATATATATATATATCCTTTGGTTTAGTCTAAACATATAACCATGTATCAAGATAGTCAAAAGACGTTTTAGGTGAAGATTAGTTTTCGACTTAGCAGAGCAAAACCTGTTGACTTAAGCTTGAAGAAGAAGACTTGAGAAGGAAGGAATCCTAGTCCTAGCCGAGATAGGGTTAGAGAGAAATCACAAGTTGTTTAGGAGTTAGCTAAAACACAAGTGAGTTCTAATAGGAATAGGATTAAGGTTTCTTTTATAAGGAGATGCCAAGGTGTGGCATAACTCATGATCTTAGAGAGTTTAAGTTTTGAGCTGATTTTCTTAAACTAATAAAGAGAGTTATTCTTTAATCTTTGAGTTCTTTGAGTTACGATTCTATAAACCCAATCTATGCAAGTGACATTCCAACCTATAGATAGCAAATTTTCTTCTTCAGGAGGTAATGTGATCTAATTAATTGCATAAGAAAGACAAATACATCCATATTGTCACATTTTTTATCATATTTGCAAGGATAACAATCAGATATTAGTTGAAATTACCTTAAGTCTTGCTCAACTTAGGATTTTTAGTGAGAGGCAATCCTGATTGATAACTAGAGCCATTACCTTCAGATAAATCCCTATAGCATCAATGAACCTAAAGACCTCAAATCAGTGAGCAGAAAACTAAATGTCAAGCGCTGATTTTCGAAAATCAAAGATATATTGAAACAAAAAAAAATCACATATTACCTTGAACTTGAGCTAAACTCCGTCCAGGTCTAGTTTATCATTGATTTCTAAACTCCATACATGTTCATTCCCTAACCACATGTTCAAATATTCAAATTACAAAATATATAACTTTGTAATACATCAGCTGGTCTAGCTCTAGTAAACCCAAAGGGCCGTAGATGTAAAATAAAGGAGCTTACCAATACGAGAGACCTTAATTAGGAGCATAATCTTGAAAATTGAAATTGATTCCCTCTCCTAAAACCCCAACCATACTCCTCTGTCAATACCAAGAGAGCCAATCTTGGCATGAATTGAAAGAAATCCTCGGTGCAAATCGGATCATGCAACATCAAAGTGGTAAGGTTGGGGCATTCAGGTGGTTTGATACCTATTTGTCCACGTACAGCTGCTGACATGCAGCTCAGTTGCTCCCAATCAACTTCTCCCATTTCATTTGACGTCATACCATCATCTCGCACGACAACCTTGTTGCTAAGCTTGTCGTAGTCACTGAGTATCCACAGTGCCAGCTCCCTGATCACGTCAAGTAATTTGAAATGCATGTATCTCGGATCCAAACGAACTTAACATATTCTCCAGCCAAGTTGTCGTAACTGTACTTCAATATAGGAAGACTGGCGTCATCCATGCCCCAAAAATTATTCCTCTTTTCTTGAAAATTCAAAGCAATAATTCATCTATTTGTTAATTAATCTATTCTAATATTTTAAGATTACTTCTATTCACATTGTGATAAGCTAACATGTGTCCTCTTAAATTTTATGATATGTATCATCTTCTTAATTTACATTACAAGATATATTTGCATGCATATATATAACATTATTTATTTTAAATAAAGAAATAATGCTAATATTTTTTTGAAATGTTAAATGTTGAAATGAAAACAATCATACGGACTCTCAATCTTGAACATATTATTTTAGAAAGAAATCATATATTAACAAAATATGATAAAATTGTAATATTTCTTATGTTTTACTTAAGATTTGCATATATTTTGCTTATAATATGCTTATGTTATGCTTATTTTTTGTAAACCAATTTTTTGACAACTCAGTGGAATGTGTACCCACTTAATAGAAATTTGATGTTTTATCTATCTTTACTTAGTATAGACTTGCAATAAAAGGATAAACTCTCCCTTTTTCCGTTAATAGGAAATGAAATAAATTTTTTATTCACAGTCCTACACAAACTTCTCCATTTTCTTGGTGTTTTTCTCTAGTCATTAATATTTAGAAAAACTAAATTAGGGTTAATTGCAGTAGGCTTTAGCATATTCAAAGCAGTTTCACTACACATACCTGAAGGCGCTACAACTGAGACAATACAGTTATGCTGAAGTGAAGAAAATCACAAAAGCAGTGAAGGTTTTGAAAGGTGTTTAGAGCAGTGGTAAAGAGTTCATTAACAAAGTCGCTATCCTGAGTCACACATCACATGTCAACATCGTTCCATTCCTGGGATTCCAAAAGAGCGCTGGTGTATCCGTGTATGAGTTTCTGGAGAATTGAAGTCTGCATGATTTCATCTCTACGAAGAAGCCATTGTATCTTGACGTGACTACATTGTATGAGACTGCTCCGGGAACTGATTACCTACACCAGGGCTGCAAACCAGGATAGTTCATTTTGACATCAAACTTGAAAATAAGTGATACGATATGTGGAACGCTATCGTATATAAGTGATATAATATTCAAGTATTCAGGGGCGGCCCAATGATTTTATAAGTCTAGGTGCAAAATCAAAAAAAATCTTTTTATGTGCCCATTTTTCTAAATGTTTTTTTTGTGCCCCTTTCCTATATTAATCTTTCGTTTTTTTCTGCAGACCCTCGGGCACCGAACCGATTGTACCCCCACTAAGCCAGCCCAAATATTGGAAAGTGGAAGATAGCACGTTAATGAAAAAACAAACAAAATTCACTAATAAAAATCATTGATGTAAGAAATTCAAATAGTATTTGTAATAGATAATATTAATAAAAATAAAAAAATCATTGGCTTGATTATTATTAGACCTGAACCGGTTATCTATGATTGTAGTTGGTTTATTATGGTTAAGTAGTTTTGTATATAAACATGTAAAACGCATCTTTGTACAGTTAACAAAGCTAATAACAACTTTTATCTTCATACTCATTTCTTCTTCAAGTTCTAGATCTGAGAATCCAGCTTTGTTCATTTTCACTCAATAATTATTTTAAATTAAAAATAATAAAATTTTCCGTAAGTTTAGTGGATCAAAAAGAATAAACTTCAGAAATAGAAAACACACCAAGTCTAAAGGATCGTGCATGATTTTCTCATTATATCTCAAAATATAATGGTCAATACTATTTTTAAGGAACGTAGGAGTTTGTGGTTTGCAAGTTTCTTTTGCTCCTGTATAAAACGGACTCTCGACTCATAAGACCAAACCACAAAACAAAAAACAAAAACAAGAAAAAAAAAAGAAAAAAAAGAACAAGAAAATCAATAAATTTAAAAGAATAAAAAGATGTTGAGTTTGTGCAAGGCAAAGACGTTCCTCTTTGTAGTGCTTGTGGTGGTTATGGCCATCACACTAGCAAACGGTGCTAAGCCACTCAAAGAAAGCAAGGCACCAGCACCTGCACCACTTCTCACCAGAATGAAAGACAAGACTAAAGAAACCGTCGCACCGGTTGCTACTAAGCTTGGACTCAAAGCACCTGCACCATCCAAATCCAAGGCCAAAGCCAAAAGTTCGAAAGAAAAGAGTTCACCTACCAAAGAAAAGAGTTCATCTACCAAAGCAAAGGGTGCAACCGCAGCTGCACCATCAAAGTCCAAAGCAAAAGCCAATTAGGATACGGTTTCTTATGAGATAACAAGCTCTTGATTATATATGGTTATAATAACCATATATATTTAAATAAACTTAAGAGTTAATAAGTACTTCCTCTATGTTATTGTAAGTAGAGTGATGTTTTAGATAATAAAAAAGTTGTTTTACTCTAAGATATTTTAGTTAACAACAATCTCACACTACTCAGTCGTCCAAAAAATACATGAAGGAGATGATAAAGTTTGCGATCACAGTCCGTAAATTATCAGATAAGAGATCGTTGGTGTTTGAAATATATTCGTACATATTCACATAATAATTAAGCTTCGATCACTTTCTTTTGTTCCTAATAACGGTTTCAGAGTAGACTCTTGTCTTGGAAACACTTGATGCAGTCATCGAACATCCTAAGCTCTTTAGTCTTTACCCTATACCCTAATTTAACCATAAACTCATATGAACTCGATTAATACTCTAAACCCTGCACAAACGTAATTAAGAATAACATGTTTATAGTTTGTATCTTAAATTCTTAATGCATTAAAAAAGAGAGTGAAATATGTAAACATTTGTGTAAAAATAATGATTTTATATTTAGATCTTGTTTAAGAATAAAATGTTGTTAGATAATCCTAATTATTATTAATAAATTTTGCTCCTAATCAAATATGCAAATCTAGATATGTATCACATATCTAAGTAATGATTAAGTCATTACCATTAAGTTAAATCAGATAATGGAACAATTTTTTTTTTAAATTAAGACTATGGTAATAGATATTCTAATGTTTTTCCTTGTTAAAAAAATTTAAATAACTTTTTAAAAAGTAATGGTAATAAATATTCTAATTTTTATTTTCCTATTTGTTAGTGAATCGGCATTATAATAGAAGCTTTTGTTAATTTTAAAAACAAATTAGTTAAACATAAATTAATAATAGTATTTTTCTTGTGTGTGGGTTCTCAGTTTGCTGTTGACTGACTGCTAGTCAACGCATCTTAAAGGAAGTTGGAGCATAACAAACATACGGTTACACAGATATACGGCCAAGATGCATCTAATCACTAATATCGATTTTCAACCGTTAGATCCTGACGAGATCATAACAAGCTCGAGTGGCAATCACGTAAATAGTCATATATCTCAAGGTATTTTCTCAAAGCTCTGTTTCAAATTGTAGCGCGGCAAATTTCAAAGAGAGATCTCCAGAGAGAGAGAGAGAGAGAGAGAGAGAGATCTTCGTCTCTGTTGCTTATGAAATCCGAAATCACAGAAACCCTAATTTGAGATCACAGAGTAGCCTCACGATGCCGGTTCCAATAATCGACACATGCCGGAAGAGAAAGAGGAAACCGAAGCTGTTCAATCTGCAGCGATTCGGAGAAGAAGGGTTTCCGATTAGCCGGATTAGAAGTTTCCGTGACAACATTAGGGTTTTTCTGCGTGATTTCGCGGAGGTTGAAGACTACAGCATCCGCGGTATGCCTGTTTGGTGCACGCTTCTCAGCCACGAGACGAAGAACACCGTGATTCCACTTTACACAGTCGAAGAAGATATCATTCGCTAGCCGGAGCCTTACTGTGACCATTGCAGATGCACAGGTTCGTTTTCCGTAATTCTGGGTTCTCAGTTTCTTATTGGGTTTGATTCGATTTCAATTTTCTGATACCGGATTTGGAATCGGATGTTGTAAATTGATACTGAGGTTTAGTTAGTCGTAATGTGACATAAATCGATTCGGTATTTGTTTTTTTGAGTAGATTTGGGTTACGAATTGCTGTGAAAATCGAGATTCTGGGTAATTGGTTGATGAGTATGTCGAAAAAATAGGAATTTCGCATTTGTCATTGTAAATGGTGGTGATTAGCGATTGGGTTACGGTTTGATGTTATTGAGCTTCTGGGTATTTTCTTTTTTGATGAGTATACATTGATCTAGAGATGTAAGTTTTGCAATTATCTCTCTGTATATGATTAATGATTGCATTAGAGATCTTTAACTGCGAATTGGTGTTTATGTTAGGATGGAGTAACCACTTTGTATCCAAGAGAAAGTACCATTTGATCATACCGAATGATACTGAGTGGAATATGCCTCTAGAAGACGATGTGTTTGATCTGCAAACGCATCTCTTACACGGAATGATTCACACCAATGGATATGGTCATTTGATATGCGTCAATGGCATGGAAGGTGGATCAAAACACTTATGCGGAAGAGAAATTGTGGATCTTTGGGATCGAATATGTACAAACCTTGGAGCAAGGTAAAAAGAAATGGAAACATTGTATACAATATTCATTTTTTTTTTTCAATGGTTGGAGAGATTGAAGTGTGTGTGTGTGTATGAGTGTGTGTGTGTTCTTGCAGGATGATAACAGTTGAAGATATCTCTAAGAAGAGGTCTCTAGATCTTCGGTTGTTATATGGAGTAGCGTACGGCCATTCTTAGTTTGGAAGGTGGGGATACAAGTTTTGCGGTGGAAGCTACGGTGTGACCAAGAGCGATTACGAGAATGCTATAGAGCTTCTAGGTTCTCTTGAACTTGATCAGGTTGAATCTGCTTTCAATGAGCATAAACAGTTCAAAGAGGTCAAGCAGATCTTCAGATACTACAGAGACATGAGTGAAGGTCATTTGAAAACGTTGAAGATCTTTTGAGGTTTATGCTCATTATAAAGTCACATGCTCAGCAAAGTAGTAAGCTTCGTGCAGCGGTTTTGCCTCCTACAATGGAGAGTCCTCATCAGAAAAGATCAACAGATTGTTCTTGAAGAAGAGTGATGCTGTGGAGAATGAGAAGTCTTCTCAGAGGTTTAGGATTTATAGCGATGTTGCAGCTAATTTGGGAAGTAGATGGCCAGTGAGGAGACTTGAATACGCATCTGAAGTGATTGTAGAGTCACTGAAAGAGATGAAAGCGTTGAATCAGAACGGTATGACTCGTCAACATGTGAGGGATGCAGCAAGATTACATATTGGAGACACTGGTCTGCTTGATTACGTGTTGAAGTTGATGAACAATGTTGTTGTTGGGAATGTTTTGGTCAGACGTTATGTTGATCCGCTTACAAGGATACTACATTACACAATCCAGGAGCTTGGTGATGATCATCATGATGCGACGAAACTGATTGGCCGAAGAGAGAAGAAGCTGCGTTAGAGGTGGTTCCTCTGAGGATTGTTGCCACTGAATCAAACCCAGAACACAAATGTGCTTTTGGATTACCCTGAATCTGAAACCGTGAGGTCTGCAAGCCAAGTGATCTTAGACAGTAAACAGTTCGTAAAGGAGTGGCCTGTATGGGATAAGAATGAACAAATCTTGCGTTTTGTTTAAAGTATCGATCCAAGTTTGATTGATCTGAGATCAGAACAGATCAATGAGCTTCCACCAGGAGAGTTAGTCACAGTCTTGCTGCAAGCCACAGTCTTTGATCTGAAACAAGCTATTGAAGACACTTTCAGAGATACTTATTGCATTCTAACAAACTTCACGGTGAATGAGATCGATGAGCTTGAGGAAGATGATAGGAATTTGCTGTTTGGAAGAGTGGAGAATTGCTCTGCTTTGACAGTGAGAGGGTTTGGGATTGAGGAAATCGAAGCTCAAGTTTCAAGGTGGGTGTCATACGTGGATGGTGAAATGTGTTTGCAAAGCTAGAGATGATGATGGAGAGAGGATGATTTCTTGTGACGTTTGTGAGATTTGGCAGCATACGAGATCCTGTGGGATTGATGATTCTGATACTTTGCCCCCACTTTATGTTTGTTCTAATTGCTGTGAAGAGTTTGCAGAGCAACAGAGGAGAGTTTTGCAGCCAAAGTATGAGTTTCCGAGTCAAGATCATAACATGTTACTGCTTGAAGGAGCAGATGATTACTTTGGTGATGAGAGATGTCTTGGAGTCATGTTTCCTTCAGAGAGTTTCCTTAGTGAGCAATACATCTTGTAAGTCAATACATTTTTTTGTTCTTGTTGTAGATAAATCTATTCTTTTGAAATGTATAAAAACTTTCAGATTTGTTTTGTTCTTTGAATATTATTGAAGATATACCTTCATTTACATAATCAATTTTAGAATAGTATTATGGCTAAATTACATATATGGAAAAGAATTAGTAAGTTTTGAGATTATTAACACCAAGAGTTTAAATAATTTTGATGAACAAGATCTAAAGTTATAATATACACAGGCTAAAATAAATTGAAGTCCATGAAGTCGTCGTACTCGTTAACCAAATCCTGCATAAGAAAAAGTTATCCAAAACATATGAGAATATGATGAATCATACACTTCAAGTAAGAGTATAGACCATATAATTTATTTTAGCTTTTGTTAACGTTATATTTTTTTTTTACCTGCTGATCAAATAACGACCAGTCGATAAAATCTGGATCATCTTGTGCCTAAAAATCGATTCCAGGTAAGAAAAACCATTCGTTAATACTAAGAATCGAATCTAGTTACATAAATATATTTCATAATTGTATGAATTAGAGGTACCTGATCATGATTAGGGTTCATGTTGGGAATTGAAGAAGTCGTCTCTGGAGGAGCAAAAGTGTTGGATGCTTCAACATTAGAATGACCCTTCCACAACAAAGTCAAATTTATAACTCAGTAAGACATGATTTCAAAGTATTCACTCCATTTATACATATATTGATTCAAATTCAAACTCGTCACTGTTAAAATCTTCTAATTATATGTAAGTACCTGGTTTATGTTAACACAGTTCCAGTCACCATCTTCTTCAAGAGGGAAATTCTTATTCAGTTCATTCGAAAATTTTGTAAGGAGGTCAAAGTTAGTGGTGGAAGCCACTTCTCCTTGTTGCTGTCGGCATCACATTCCAGACAAAACAGAAGTCACAAAATATACTTCACGTAGATACGTTACTGAAAAGTAAGTAGTGGAGAGTTATATAATATACCTTGTTGTGATCAAACTGAAAGTTACTTGTATCGCAAGGAAGCTCATTAGTATTGCCAAGATCATCATATAAGTTTAGGTTCTCTAGTGGAGGAACTTCAAAAGTTGGCTGACTAGTTGCATGGGCATGTGATCGAGTCTTATATGCAGAATTCTCATTGTTTAAGAACGATTGCACCCCATACGAGAAGTGGCTATGTCCTGGTTGATTAGGAGTTAAACTTCCATAGCTGCTCATCATGTTATTGTTGAAATTATTACCATGTTGTCCAAACCCAAGAACTTGAGATGATTGGCCGGTTTTGTTCGCCATCAAACTTGGTTCGAAAAAGGTACTGCCTACGTTTTGAGATGCTTGGTAAGAGAAGTTGAGGTTGGTTTTGATGGGAAGGGTAAAGTTTGATCCAATACTACGTGGTCCGTTGGTGGATGAATGGTTCATGTACTTGTGAGGGATTTGGTTGAACCGGACGGGCTCACGTGTGTTGGATAAGAGTCTAGACTGTCCAAGAAGACCTTGTCCGGGTTTACAATAGAATAATCTATTGTTAAGACTTGTTTCGTACCAAGAAGTAGAGGAGGGTGTGCAATAGTTGTAGTGAGGCTCTCTTATGGGACCATGAGATAAAATCGAGTCTTTTTCCTGTATCGACAAAAGACTCAACAAACCTTGTTCCGCTACTTTCCTCAAGAATTGTCGATATTTCTGCGCATCAAACGATTTTGAGTTAATTGAAAAATAGAATTTCGTTTTTCTTTTTTTCTCCAAAATTGTCGATAATCTATAAAATCAAGAAATATGCACACACCTGTAAATGGCTGGCGACGTTTTCTCTAGTCAAGTATGGTACGTTCATGTGCTCTAAGATTTTCTTTGGCACAGCCTCTTTGGAAGATTCAAACACGCATAGAAAGTTAGTTAATTAGTATATATAAACTTGAAGAGGTAAGAAAATAAATTGTAAATCATGAATTATATACAAATTAAAAAAACATTATAATTAAGAAAATGAAAAACCAAAACACTTACTCTCAAGAGTGAGATGTTTGATAGCTTGTAAGAAAAGGTCCTGAAGCTCATCTGTCCACGTAAGTTTACTCTTCTTCTTGGTGGGCTGCGAAACAGACTCAACATCATCACCAGAACTACCGTTTGATTTTCTTTTTCGTGAACTATCGGCACGAACACAACTTCCATTGGTACTGGTCATGGATCTTGATGAGCACGTCTTCTTCTTGGTGTTCAAGCCATTAGCTTGTTCAGAAAGCAACTGGATTTGCTGAGGAACACTAACATATGTGTCCTTGTGGTTGTTCTCGGTCCATACTACGGACTTACCATTCCTCTTGTAGTTTAAAGCAAGTTGGTAAATCTTGGGTAAGTCAGTTACTTTGATGGGTTTTGGAATGAAACACATCGCTCCACAAGTTAAGCTCTCATGTTCTTTGTTGGTGTCCGATGACATCACTTCCATATTTAAAGAAATGCAGGAAACAAAATAAATGGTTATATTAGCTTAGAGTTATAAGAAAATAGATCATAATTTGCTTTAATTTGTAAGGGAAAAAATGTTACCTATGACCGGTAAATTTCCAAATTCTTGTTCGATTTGTCTTTTGAGTTGTAGACCGTTCATGCCAGGCATGTAGTAATCTGTGACTATGAGATCGATATTGTTTCTTTCAGTTTTAAGAGTAGACAATGCTTCTCCCGAGTCTTTTACAGCTATGACTGTGATCTCTATATTCGATGGATCTAAAACCATTTAAACCAAAAAAAAAGTCATCAACTAAAAGAATAAGATGTGAAAATTGAGGGCTTCTATACGTAAGATAAATTTACCATTCTAGTTATATTGGTAAATTTTACATATTGTATATATTGGTTGGAAGTTTAAATCAACCAATACTAGTTTGCAAAAAAAACAACAAATTCAAAGCAAGAATAGCTTAATGGAAGTTTTAGTTTTATGCATGTAATTGGAAATTCAAGTCCGGATCAAATAACTTAGAGAGACAATTGTTAAATTTATAAGTAATACAACTTTCGAAAAGTATTCAAGTTTTTGTTTTTTACGAAAAGTATTCAAATTTTGTTTTTTATTTAGCTAATTCTTGCTTCCTACTCAAAACTAATATATAGAAAAATACGAAGAAGCGTATAGTATTTGATAATAGGATCTTACCTCTGTATTTAGTTTTTTCAATCATTTGTGAAATAACTTGAAGGTCAACAGGATTATCGTCCACAACCATAACATTGATTTTCAAGACAGAGCTTTGGTTGTAGACAGATTGAGCATAAGCCATTTTTCTAGTATTTCTATAAAGTTTTTTTTCTTTGAAGTATTTAGGTTGCAAAAACCTCAATATTTATAGGCCATAAAGTAAACACGCAAATATAACATTTGGCAATGTTGTAGTGGTCCATATGTAAGCACTATTTGTAGAAAGAAATAATAATGATATAAGATAAATACAAACTTAAATTTATTTTCTAATTTAATAATTATATTGAAAAGTAAGAAAAGTTCAGAAAAATTATATAGGAAAGGGAGACACAACAAAAGCATACCATTGTTTGGAAATACCTTGTGCTAATTTATGTAAAATATCTAGACTAAAGTAACAAAAATTAAATGCTATTTAACAATATTATTTTTGTAATATAAAATAAATGAACTTGTTTTTATATCTTTTAATTTTCTTTTTCTGGTTAAGGATTGATTTTCAAATAGTCTTTTTACATCTTTGCTGGATTTGTGCTATAATGGGAAAATATTCTACAATATTGTATGTAAAAATGAAACAAAAAAATGTTAGTTTTTTTTAATATTATGTTGAATACATAAGTATGAAAAGCCATAAAAGTAATCTTTTGTCATATCAAAATGGAAAGATTTAGGTTTTCAAAATACAAATAAAATGTTTGAAACCAATGATTGTAAAGTGTTTTGGAGTCGTTCGGTGATACTCTGTATTCGTATTTGAAAATGTGTATTCTACATTGATAGTGATACTCTCAAATGTTCTCTTAAATTTTTAATATATAAAATTATATTGTTCGACTATTATTATGTTTTGTAAATCCAAACGAATCATTATTCCAATATATATATATATAACCACTTAAAATTATATCACAATACCAACAAACAATTTTTTTTTAATATATATATATATTAGCATTTACATAGTGTAGTAAAATTAAGATTTGCCATTTAAGATGTTCATAAAAATCCAACATAATCGAAATGGTGCTAAAAACCTAAAACACCATAATTTCCAATATAGATATTCTTTTAATCAATGATTTTTTCTGTTATGTTAGTCATTCTTATAACTCAAAATATTTAAATATTCGAAATCGAAATGAAGTGAGAAATTTAACGTTAAAATTATATTGAGGCATGCAATTCTTTTTTAAAGTTAATACTGTTTTTAACAGAAACATTAAAAAAAGAAAACAGATTTAAAGAGTTTTAAAGAATTTAAGGTTCTTATATAAAAAGTTATCAAGATTTTAGTTGACAAAAATAAAATTATAAAGATGTTACTATTAATGTAGACAAAAATAAAATTATTAAGATGTATTTATTCATTAGGCGACAAATCATAGTTATAACTCGCAATTAATTACTCCCTTTGTTTCATAATAAGCTTGATTTTATAAGATTACTTTTGTTACAAAATAAGTGTAATTCTGTGATTTCAATGCAGTTATTATTATTAATTTATCTATTTTGCCACTAATTAAATAAGAGAAAACATTAAACACTACTCCCTCCGTTTCAAATTAGTTGTCGTTTTGACAAAATGTATCTGCAAATATTTGGACGTATCTGGACGTATTTTGCATTGCAGATACGTCCAAATATTTGCAGGTACATTTTGCCAAAACGACAACTAATTTGAAACGGAGGAAGTATATAAATTTAATAGTCAAACAAAGAAAATATTGAATATTAAACTATTTTCTTAATTTGTGTGAAAAGTGTCAAAGTCACACTTAATATGAAACAATAGAGTATTATTTTATGTCGGCAATTAGCAATGAATTAAGATGGTTTATTTCAATCATCTTTAATTGTCATCAAAACTAAAGTAAAAATCAGTTTTATTTGACTGTGACCAAAATAATTATCCTAAAAATTATAGGATTTATTTTATTTTTCCAAAACTTTAAGTATTATTATAATTATGTTTTATCTAAAAATATACCACTAGTTTTTTTTCTCAAATATATCAAAAATGGAATATTCTTTCCCAAAAATACAAAAACATTAAAAATAAGGTTTAAAGGTTTAAAATTTAAATATTTAAGTTTGGATTTGGTATTTTTGGTTTATTATTTAGTTTTAGGTTTCATTTTTGAGGATTTTGGATTTGTTTTGGCTCTGAGGGTTTAAAGATTAGTTTTAGTTTTGTGGAGTAAAATTTAATTTCTTTGGTATTTTTGAAAATAAAAAATAAAGAAAATTAGTTTGGAACAATTTGTATTAGTGTTTGGTCCCATGAAAAAAAAAAAATCTGAATCAAAATTGTCTAATTTGTAAAAGAAAAGTAAATGTTGTTTTCCACTATACAAATGTTTTCTTTCTTGAATTTAAAATGGCTTCTTCAAATGCCTGAACTCAATGGAAGAATCCGAACGATCTACAAAACCAATCATCTTCATCTGTTTATTCATCATCTTCAACAACTCTGTAACTTTCTCCTTCGTACCATCTCCACATCCGACTTGTAACACCACAACAAGCTTCTTAAACGCACCTAACCGCAACGCATCTTCAACCTCAGACCCATCTCCAGTTTTACAAACCTTCCACATCACAGAAACTAAACTCTTCTTTGCAGATTCCGAAATCTTCAGAATCTTCTTGACCAAAATCGGCATCACCAATTCGTTTCCTCTCACTTCTCTTCTCCCTTCTTCGCGTTCGCAAATCGCGTCTAGCACCAATAACGCTTTCTCGCAAACGCTATTCTCCGAATCCACAAGCATCTCCACCGTTAAATTAACCAAACCCAGTTCGAGAAATCTTGAGATAGTCTCTGGTTTTACAGAGATCATGCGGTAGATCGAAGTCAGCGATACAGAATCGCGAATCGATTTCACAAACGCTTCTTCCACGCCGTTAATCGCGACCAACGCGTGAACGTTTGCTTCGTCGAACGACAAAAGCTCCTTAACCAAAAATGCAGCGTTTTGATCTCCACGTCTCAAAAAACTCAACAAGCATTTAAACGATGCCGTAGTAGTTAATTTCCCTTGACTCTCTAACCCAATCGGAAACATCCACGTCAGCAAAAGCAAAACATCCTCCAACAACACTGTCGTCACGTTTGACGCGTTTTCCGAAAACGCGTCGAAGCAAACGCAGAGCACAAATCCGACGCCGTTTTCGCTCAAACATTTCTTATTCCTCTCACTCTCTTTCCCTAATCTCTTCATCTTCTTCACCATCTCCACACACGAAACGTGGTCCCCACGCCGCGTCGCAGACGATAACTTCTCGCGAATCTCCACCACCTGATGGCTCGTGATGGGGACACGTGGCGTCGGAATACGATCCAACGATGATGATCCCTTGTTCGCCACGCACCAGCCTTGGATCATTCTCCGAATCGCGTGGTTCGGAATCTGCTCTGAAGTGGTTAGGACCGTGTTTGTGACCGGACACGTTCGGTTGCCTGACTCGAACCATGTATCGATGCTTTCACGGTCGTAAGTTATCCCGGAGGCGATGATCACCGGATCTTTCATTAGCTCGTAAGAGATCGGACATTGAAACTGCGACGGGATTGTTATCTCTTCCTCCTCCTCCGACGTACCCATCACCGGAATTAGCTCCTTCTTGCTTCCTCCTCGCCGTCTCATTCTCAATGAAAGTCCCATTTTTTTTGTGTGGTTATAACATTTTTTTTTTTGAGAATTTCTTTGACTCTTACTAACGAAGGAGACAAGTAGGGAAGAGATTTTATATGTTTTGTAATGTAAACATAAAAGCTTCTAGGTGATAATAAATGGCTTAGTCGTATGTTTTTGGTCAAAGATAAATTTTGGGTAAAAGAATAGAAAAATCACGAGAAAATAAATAATGATGGAGGAGGTTTATGTCATATTATTCGCAAGCTGGTTAGGAGGAATCGGAAATTTTGACCGTTGAATGTTTGAAAAAAATTGATGACGAATTGACAACTAATGCAGAAAAGAGGAAAGATAAAAAGCAGAATTGGTTTTGAGGTTTAAAGTTTAATCTTACACTTTGGTCTTAGGATTGGTTATCAATAATATTCTGAAGTGTGAGAATATACACCAATATACAATGCAGAATTTTCAATACAATGGTTTTGATCCTTTATTCGTGTTATTTCTCAGTTCATAAGTTTGTATATTTATAAATTTACCTTAGAAAAACAAATATTAAGATGTAATATACCAATAAAAACAACGTAGAATCGAATATCTATT